TTTCTTGCTTCGATAGTGCAATTCTCGTTCGTTCACTCAATTGCACTCGTAACACTTGGTATTCAGAGCCTACGATCTCATCTCGGACCGCATCCACAATTTCGCTTCCCCACTATCTCAATTTTTGGGGGGGGGTAGATGTCTCTCAGCGATACAGCACCGCCGCTCGTAGTGCTCTCTTGTAAGCACGCACGGCCACGATCGAGGCTCTCGCTGAGCTTGCCCGACACCCCCGCCATGGCCGATTTCATGCTCGCCACATTGACGCAAGGAGCAGCTTGATCGTCTCGTGCGTCAACTAGAAGATTCGGCGCTCGAAATCGCGACGCTCACGGCGGAACGTGACTCCGCCCGTCAACAATCCACGGTGAACATTCCGGCGACACACACGCACCGACAAATGCATCTGCACAATCGGACGAGCCAATCATCATCTCGTCCGGCACACCAACACAACACGATAGCATGGGACAACGCTCAGGCGCAGCCAGTGATGGCGCCGCCCAGGCGATGCCTGGCATGGGGGGAGGCAGGATCGCACCAAGCCCGCGGGAGCCCCGGGAAGCCCGTCGGCACGTGGAATTTGCGGCAACAAGTGGCGAACAGGCCATTATGGCACCAATGCCGCTCAAACCGCAACGCCCGCCCTGCTTCAACCCAAGCCAACGCGGAGGTCCGACGGTTCAATCGTGGGTCTTCACGATGAACGTCTTCTTCGACGCAAACTACGTCGAGTCGGACGCCGCGAAGATCCGGTTTGCAGTTTCGCTGCTAAGGGGCCCCGCCATGGACTGGTGGCGAGTCATCGTGACATCACCACGCGCCTACGAGCCACCGTCGCACGAGGAAGGGCCCACGGGTCCAGCTGTCACCTGGAGTTCGTTCTGCGAGACCGCCCAATACAACACGTGGGATGCGTGGTGCGCAGGACTACGGGCGCGCTTCGAGCCGATCGCGGCTTTGATTTCGGCGCGTCAGAGATTGCGCACTTGGCGCCAGCTCGGGTCGGTTCAAGATTATACAAGCGGTTTTCTCGCACTTTGCGAACAGGTCGGCTACATGCACGAAGCGGAGCGGGTGGACCGTTACATCGGAGGGCTGAAGCCGGATATCTCGCACGAAATCATGCTGCGCGGACTCTCTAACTTCAACGAGATTCTCGCGCTCGCCGAGAAAATCGACATTCTACGCCGACCGAGACCGGGGTCCTACTACGGACATCGCCCTCGGGGACCGACCGAGCACGCCACTGTACACGCCGTCGCAACGAATGCAGCTGCCGCACCGTTCAAGGGGCGCTGCTTTGCTTGCAACAGGCCGGGCCATCGCAAGAGCGAATGCCCAGAGGAGCTGAGGCGCCGCGGAGCAGAGCAGGGGAGGGAGTCTCAGAGGCCGGGAAACGCCAGCAGTCAGTAGAAGTTGGGCCAACTACTGACGAGACTGCCTGCTCGCCCAACCGCACCGACCCTCACCGAGTCACAGTACCGATTCACGCCATCGATCGGGCTCGGATGAATAAGGAGGGTACAGCGACGGATTGCCCAGTACTGATCTACGGGAAGATACAGGGAGCAGCAGTGAAGATTTTTATTGACGGAGGAGCAAGTCACAGTTTAGTTAATACCGCGACCGCACGGAAACTGCAGTTAACACTTAACCACTGCTTACCTGAGATAGACGCACGCTTAGTCGACGGCACGCCACTGGCCATACGGGAAAAGGTGGAGCGAGTAAAAATCCGCTGCGGAGGGAACTTCGGGTTTACACAGGAAATGCTCGCCACGACACTGGATGGGCACGACATCTTATTGGGACGTGATTGGCTGCGACGGTATAACCCGCGAATTGACTGGACGACGGGTAGCTGCACCGTGCGAAGTAGTGGTAACTGGGTCGAACTACCTCGCTGGCGGTCACCCGAGTCTTCAACGGTCCACGTCAACGCCATCACGATGAAACGGGTTGCTGCCGCGGTAGCTGACGTGTACGCAGTGGATATAGCACTAGTAGGAGAAGAGGAGCAGCCGAGCGATTTTCAGAAACTGTTGGCAGCGGTACCGCCCGTACTTCAGGATCTGTTGAAACGGTACCCGCGGATTTTTCCAGACGATTTACCGCAAGGATTGCCACCTCAGCGGGCGCATGACCATAGGATCGAGTAAGAACCGGGGGCACAGCCAACTGTACAGCGCCAGTTCAGACTGACACAGCCCGAGCTCGACGAACTAAGGAAGCAGTTAGATTATTTGTTAGAGAAGCAGTTTATCCGACCGAGCTCGTCACCGTTCGCCGCACCGATACTGTTCACACCGAAAAAAGACGGAGGATTTCGCATGTGCATTGATTACCGAGCGCTCAACAGAGTAACAGTCAAATCGCGATACCCCATCCCCCGCGCCGACGAACTGATCGACCAGCTGCGAACAGCACGGGTATTTTCGAAAATAGACTTACGGGGGGGTTACCATCAAATTCGGGTCGAACCATCGGACTGCGCCAAGACAGCATTTAGGACTAGGTACGGGTCATTCGAGTACACGGTGATGCCTTTCGGGCTGACCAACGCGCCCGCAACATTTCAGATGACCATGAACGAGGCGTTTAGGCCACTTTTAGATAAATGCGTGATAGTTTACCTCGACGACATCCTCGTTTACAGTCGCGACCAGCAGCAACACTTAGTCGATCTTGAAGCAGTGTTTAAAATTTTAGAGGAACATCGGTTACTCACCAAGGGCTCCAAGTGCGAGTTTTTTCGGGATAGGCTAGAATTTTTAGGGCACGTTATTTCGGAGGCTGGAGTTGAAATCGACCCCAAGATGCTGGATACCGTAAAAGCGTGGCATCCCCCGACGAACATCACGGAGCTGCAGAGTTTTTTAGGGTTCGTTAATTACGTTCGTCGGTTCGTCCCCGACATGGCACGATTAACAGCCCCGCTAACAGATTTACTACGCAAGGGGGTCGCTTTTACGTGGGGGGAGAAAGAGCATGCTGCCTTCTCTGCCCTGAAACATGTTCTTTGTTCACCACCCGTCCTACGCATCGCTGACCCACATCGCCCCTTCGAAGTTGTTACAGACGCAAGCGACATCGCCATTGGAGCCGTACTGTTACAAGACTTCGGCAACGGCCTCCAGCCCATCGCCTACGAATCACGAAAACTGCATCCGCCTGAACGAAATTACCCGATACACGACCGCGAAATGCTCGCGATCGTGCATGCATTCAAGGTGTGGCACTGCTACTTGACCGGCGCACACGTAACAGTACGGACAGACCATCGATCCCTACAGTACCTCCTGTCAGATTATCATAGCTGATACATGTTTGTAGGCTATAGTGGGGTAGCACATATGGGGTACAGCTTTGTAGGGTTGTATTTGTACCCAACTCTGACTTAGTCATTTCATTCCTGTTCATTCTTTTCACATGGTATAGAGCGGGTCCCTCCTAAGGACCGTTTTTTTTTAAGGGCCCACCCACGATTTTTTTTTTTCCTGCCCGGAGCGCGCCCTATTCTCCCCGAGGCGCGCTCCCCTAGTGCTTGTCGCGCTGCCCTTGTGGCGCCCCGCGAGTCGCGCGCGCGACTCCTTTTTTTTTCGCGCGCGCGGGCCCGGGCCCCACGTCGCGCTGGCCTTACGGCCGCGCCGCGCCGCCCTCTCGGCTCTGCCGCGCCGCGCCGCCCTCACGCCGGCCGCGCGGCCTCTTCGTCGCTGCAGCGGGCCCCGTCACCTGACGGCCCCGCCGTCCTACTCTCGGCCCCGCCGTTGCAACCTGACGGCCCCGCCACTCCACCTGTCGGCCCCGCCACTGCACCCTGACGGCCCCGCCGTCCCCTGTCCCGGCCCCGCCGCTTGCACCCTGCCGGCCCCGCCGCTGCACCTCTGTCGGCCCCGCCGCTGCACCCTGACGGCCCCGCCGTCCCCTGTCACGGCCCCCGCCGTCCCCTGTCACGGCCCCGCCGCTGCACCCTGACGGCCCCGCCACTGCACCAGTCGGCCCCGCCGCTGCATCCTGACGGCCCCGCCGTCCCCTGTCCCGGCCCCGCCGCTGCACCCTGCCGGCCCCGCCGCTGCACCCTGACGGCCCCGCCGTCCCCTGTCACGGCCCCGCCGCTGCACCCTGCCGGCCCCGCCGCTGCACCCTGACGGCCCCGCCGTCTCCAACACCCGAGCCGCCCTGCCGCCGAGCCGCCCGGGAGCCGAGCCGCCCTGCACCCGAGCCGCCCTGCCGCCGAGCCGCCCGGGAGCCGAGCCGCTCTGCACCCGAGCCGCCCTGCCGCCAAGCCGCCCGGGCGCCGAGCCGCCTGCACCCGAGCCGCCCTGCTGCCGAGCCGCCCGGGAGCCGAGCCGCCCAGCAGCCGAGTCACTGAGTCGCCGAGCCGCCCTTCTGCAGAGTTGCCCGGCCTGCCCTGCCTGGTGAGCACAGTCGCACTGTCACTGCGTGCTCTTCCCCTACTGCTTGCACTGCTTCGCTGTCGTCGTCATGGCTACCCCTAGTGTCCTAGCTTTTGACGCTGAGGGTCGCGCCATTGATTTTGAGGTCTGGTTAGACGACCTGCAGCTGTTCTTGCAGTGCGACAGGGCTGACAGCCTTTCTCTCTTTGACCTCACCTCTGGCGCCTCTCCTGCTCCTGCTGCTGATGCTGATCCCACTGTCCGCTCTCAGTGGGCCACCCGCGATGCTGCAGCACGTCTTGCTGTGCGTCGCCACCTCCCTACCTCTGAGCGTGCGCACTTTAGTCAGTACAAGAGTGCTCAGACCTTGTACGACGCTGTAGTTGCGCGCTACTCCTCCCCTGCCACTGCTGCACTGAGCCGTCTCATGCTTCCCTACCTCTTTCCTGACCTCTCTGCCTTTCCCACTGTCGCTGATCTCATTACGCACCTCCGCACTAGTGACACTCGCTACCGCGCCGCCCTTCCTGCTGAGTTCTGCGCTAAGAACCCACCCCCCATGTACATCGCTCTCTACTACGTAGTCGCGCGCCTCCCTGACTCCCTTCGCGTCGTCAGGGACCACTTTCTCGCAGTCTGTCCCACCACCCTCACCGTCGACCTCCTCGAGAAGGCCCTCCTCGCAGCGGAGAAGAGCATAGTCGCTGTAGGTGCTTCTCGTGGTGACCCTCGCACCCCCATCTTTGAGGGGTGCTCTCCTTCCCCCTTGCTGCCCTCTGTTGCCTCTGCTGCTGCTGCCGACCTGCTTGGTCTTGAGTCGGTCGCGCGGCGTCTGCCCCTAGTGGGAGACGTCGCTCCAGCAAGGGCAAGGGGGGCAAGGGCGCGGGTGGAGCTGGAGGGGGCGGTGGCGGTGGCGGCGGTGGCGGCGGAGGGAGTGGGGGTGGCGGCGGGACTAGTGGCGGGGGTGGTGGTGGTGGTGGTGGCAGCAGCGGCGGAGACGGTGGTGGTGGTGCCAGCGGTGGTGGTGGAGGCAGCGGCGGAGGTGGAGGCGGCGGAGGTGGAGGCGGTGGAGGCGGCAGCGGAGGAGGCGGTGGTGGTGGAGGAGGTGGAGCTGGTCGGGGTGGTACCCAGCAGCGTAGCGGCGGTGGTGGTGGCCAGCGCTCGCAGCGGCAGCAGCAGCAGCGCTCGCGGGACATCCCTCCGCCTCAGCAGCTTCGTGAGTGGTACGCTGGGCGTCAGAGGGGTGGGGGTACTGGTCCCTGCACCTACGTTCTTCGTTCCGGCGACCGCGCGGGTGAGTAGTGTGGGGGTGCCCACGCTGCCCAGCGCTGCTTTGGCCGCCTCACGGACGCTTGGCGTCAGCAGTTCCCTGGGGCTACTGAGATCCCTCGCTGGGATGAGCTTCTTAGGGCTGGTGTAGCGATCTTTGATCTTGATTTTGATGCTATCCTTGCTGCTATGTATGCTGTGACTTATAGTGAGGAGAATGAGGGTTACCGGTGTTTCCAGCCCGACCCGGGCATTGGTACTGCTGCGCTAGGTGCTTGTGAGGCTGCTGCTCTAGGTGCCAGTGCGTCTGCGCTCTCAGGTACTGGTGAGACTGCGCTCTCAGGTACTGCGTCGTCCTCGTCCTCCCTCACTTTCACACTTGACTCCGGGGCTTCTCGCTCCTTCTTTCGAGACCGCACTACCCTTACGCCGCTCGGCCGGCCGGTTGCTGTCTCCCTTGCTGACCCCTCTGGGGGTCCTGTCCTGTCTCACTTCTCCACTGTCCTCCCGTGTCCGGCTGCCCCTTCGGGCACCCTGTCTGGTCTGTACCTTCCCTCGTTCTCTACGAACTTGGTGTCAGATTATCATAGCTGATGCATGTTTGTAGGCTATAGTGGGGTAGCACATATGGGGTACAGCTTTCTAGGGTTGTATTTGTACCCAACTCTGACTTAGTCATTGCATTCCTGTTCATTCTTTTCACATGGTATAGAGCGGGTCCCTCCTAAGGACCGTTTTTTTAAGGGCCCACCCACGATTTTTTTTTCCTGCCCGGAGCGCGCCCTATTCTCCCCGAGGCGCGCTCCCCCTAGTGCTTGTCGCGCTGCCCTTGTGGCGCCCCGAGAGTCGCGCACGCGACTCCTTTTTTTTCGCGCGCGCGGCCCGGGCCCCACGTCGCGCTGGCCTTACGGCCGCGCCGCGCCGCCCTCTCGGCTCTGCCGCGCCGCGCCGCCCTCACGCCGGCCGCGCGACCTCTTCGTCGCTGCAGCGGGCCCCGTCACCTGACGGCCCCGCCGTCCTACTCCCGGCCCCGCCGCTGCACCCTGCCGGCCCCGCCGCTGCACCTCTGTCGGCCCCGCCGCTGCACCCTAAAGGCCCCGCCGTCCCCTGTCACGGCCCTGCCGTCCCCTGTCACGGCCCCGCCGCTGCACCCTGACGGCCTCGCCACTGCACCAGTCGGCCCCGCCGCTGCACCCTGACGGCCCCGCCGTCCCCTGTCCCGGCCCCGCCGCTGCACCCTGCCGGCCCCGCCGCTGCACCCTGACGGCCCCGCCGCTGCACCCTGACGGCCCCGCCGTCCCCTGTCCCGGCTCCGCCGCTGCACCCTGCCGGCCCCGCCGCTGCACCCTGACGGCCCCGCCGCCCCCTGTCACGGCCCCGCCGCTGCACCCTGCCGGCCCCGCCGCTGCACCCTGACGGCCCCGCCGTCCCCTGTCCCGGCCCCGTCCTGCACCCGAGCCGCCCTGCCGCCGAGCCGCCCGGGAGCCGAGCCGCCCTGCACCCGAGCCGCCCTGCCGCCGAGCAGCCCGGGAGCCGAGCCGCCCTGCACCCGAGCCGCCCTGCCGCCGAGCCGCCCGAGCGCCGAGCCGCCCTGCACCCGAGCCGCCCTGCCGCCGAGCCGCCCGGGAGCCGAGCCGCCCAGCAGCCGAGTCGCTGAGTCGCCGAGCCGCCCTTCTGCAGAGTTTCCCGGCCTGCCCTGCCTGGTGAGCACAGTCGCACTGTCACTGCGTGCTCTTCCCCTACTGCTTGCACTGCTTCGCTGTCGTCGTCATGGCTACCCCTAGTGTCCTAGCTTTTGACGCTGAGGGTCGCGCCATTGATTTTGAGGTCTGGTTAGACGACCTGCAGCTGTTCTTACAGTGCGACAGGGCTGACAGCCTTTCTCTCTTTGACCTCACCTCTGGCGCCTCTCCTGCTCCTGCTGCTGATGCTGATCCCACTGTCCGCTCTCAGTGGGCCACTCGCGATGCTGCTGCACGTCTTGCTGTGCGTCGCCACCTCCCTACCTCTGAGCGTGCGCACTTTAGTCAGTACAAGAGTGCTCAGACCTTGTACGACGCTGTAGTTGCGCGCTACTCCTCCCCTGCCACTGCTGCACTGAGCCGTCTCATGCTTCCCTACCTCTTTCCTGACCTCTCTGCCTTTCCCACTGTCGCTGATCTCATTACGCACCTCCGCACTAGTGACACTCGCTACCGCGCCGCCCTTCCTGCTGAGTTCTGCGCTAAGAACCCACCCCCCATGTACATCGCTCTCTACTACGTAGTCGCGCGCCTCCCTGACTCCCTTCGCGTCGTCAGGGACCACTTTCTCGCAGTCTGTCCCACCACCCTCACCGTCGACCTCCTCGAGAAGGCCCTCCTCGCAGCGGAGAAGAGCATAGTCGCTGTAGGTGCTTCTCGTGGTGACCCTCGCACCCCCATCTTTGAGGGGTGCTCTCCTTCCCCCTTGCTGCCCTCTGTTGCCTCTGCTGCTGCTGCCGACCTGCTTGGTCTTGAGTCGGTCGGCGCGGCGTCTGCCCCTAGTGGGAGACGTCGCTCCAGCAAGGGCAAGGGGGGCAAGGGCGCGGGTGGAGCTGGAGGGGGCGGTGGTGGTGGCGGCGGTGGCGGCGGAGGGAGTGGGGGTGGCGGCGGGACTGGTGGCGGGGGTGGTGGTGGTGGTGGTGGCAGCAGCGGCGGAGACGGTGGTAGTGGTGCCAGCGGTGGTGGTGGAGGCAGCGGCGGAGGTGGAGGCGGCGGAGGTGGAGGCGGTGGAGGCGGCGGCGGAGGAGGTAGTGGTGGTGGAGGAGGTGGAGCTGGTCGGGGTGGTACCCAGCAGCGTAGCGGCGGTGGTGGTGGCCAGCGCTCGCAGCGGCAGCAGCAGCAGCGCTCGCGGGACATCCCTTCGCCTCAGCAGCTTCGTGAGTGGTACGCTGGGCGTCAGAGGGGTGGGGGTACTGGTCCCTGCACCTACGTTCTTCGTTCCGGCGACCGCGCGGGTGAGCAGTGTGGGGGTGCCCACGCTGCCCAGCGCTGCTTTGGCCGCCTGACGGACGCTTGGCGTCAGCAGTTCCCTGGGGCTACTGAGATCCCTCGCTGGGATGAGCTTCTTAGGGCTGGTGTAGCGATCTTTGATCTTGATTTTGATGCTATCCTTGCTGCTATGTATGCTGTGACTTATAGTGAGGAGAATGAGGGTTACCGGTGTTTCCAGCCCGACCCGGGCATTGGTACTGCTGCGCTAGGTGCTTGTGAGGCTGCTGCTCTAGGTGCCAGTGCGTCTGCGCTCTCAGGTACTGGTGAGACTGCGCTCTCAGGTACTGCGTCGTCCTCGTCCTCCCTCACTTTCACACTTGACTCCGGGGCTTCTCGCTCCTTCTTTCGAGACCGCACTACCCTTACGCCGCTCGACCGGCCGGTTGCAGTCTCCCTTGCTGACCCCTCTGGGGGTCCTGTCCTGTCTCGCTTCTCCACTGTCCTCCCGTGTCCGGCTGCCCCTTCGGGCACCCTGTCTGGTCTGTACCTTCCCTCGTTCTCTACGAACTTGGTGAGTGGCGCGGACCTGCAGGATGTGGGGGTTCACCAGTTCACTCCTGCGAGTCAGCGGGTGACCCACTGCACGGAGGCACGCACAGGCCGACACCTGGCCACGTTCTCGCGTCGGCCGGGGTCGAGTCTCTACACCCTGACCGTTGAGTCTCCTCCTGTCCCTGCGTCTGGTCTGGTGGCTGCGTCAGGTCAGGTGCTTGCTGCTGCGTCCCGGTCAGGTCCTGAGTCTGCCCCCTGTTCTTGTCGCCTCTTGTCTCACGAGACTCTCCTGTGGCACCACCGTCTTGGCCACCCCTCCTTGCCCCGTCTTCGGAGCATGGCTTCCCGTGTCCTTGTCTCTGGTCTTCCCCAGTCTCTCCCTCCTCTCCCCTCCGGGCCAGGACCTTCCTGTGTCCCCTGTGTCGAGGGTCGCCTCCGGGCTACTCCTCACTCCTCCCACTTCCCCCCGACAGAGGCTTCCCTGCAGACGCTTCACATGGATGTGTGGGGCCCAGCCCCCGTCCGTGGGCAGGGTCACGAGCGCTACTTCCTGTTGGTGGTTGACGACTACTCGCGTTACACCACAGTCCTCCCCTTGCGCAGCAAGGGTGCGGTCACTGAGGTGCTGATCGACTGGATCCGCGAGGCTCGTCTCCAGCTCAGGAAGAGCTTCGGCTCGGACTTTCCTGTTCTGCGTCTGCACTCGGACAGAGGCGGAGAGTTCTCTTCTCGCCTTCTGCGCGACTACTGTCGTGCACGGGGGATCCGCCAGACCTTCACGCTTCCGGACTCACCACAGCAAAATGGGATTGCTGAGCGCCGCATTGGCATGGTCATGGATGTCGCTCGTACGTCCATGATGCATGCGGCTGCCCCCCATTTTCTGTGGCCGTTTGCGGTGAGGTACGCGGCGCATCAGCTCAACCTTCACCCCCGGGTCTCTCGGCCTGCGATGTCCCCAGCCTTGCTGTGGACGGGGAAGGTTGGCGATGCGTCTGTGTTCCGTGTCTGGGGATCTCGGGCGTTTGTCCCCGACTTGTCTGCGGACAAGCTGTCCCCTCGTGCTGCTCCCTGTGTCTTCCTTGGCTTCCCCACTGACGCCCCAGGGTGGCAGTTTTACCACCCCTCCTCTCGTCGTGTTCTGTCCTCCCAGGACGTCACGTTCGACGAGTCAGTCCCCTTCTACCGTCTCTTCCCCTACCGCACTCCTTCCCTCCCCCCTCCCCCGGACTTCCTTGTGCCGGTTCCCCCCCCGGTAGACCCCCTCCCCCCTCAGGTTCCTGCCCCCTCAGGTGTGTCCCAGGTAGACGCCGTTGACCCGGTCGAGGTTACTGGTGACTCTGGTGCTGCTGCGGGTGCTGAGCCTGGGGGTGCTGACTCTGGGGGTGCTGTGCGCGGGGGTGCTGAGCCTGGGGGTGCTACTGCTGGGGGTGTTGGGCCTGAGGGTACTACTGCGGAGGGTGCGGAGCCTGGGGGTGCTGAGTCGGGGGGTGCTGTGCCTGGAGGTGCTGGGTCTGGGGGTGCTGGGTCGGGAGCTGCTGAGCCTGGGGGTGCTGCGTGTGGAGCTGCTGAGCCTGGGGTTTCTCCTGCTGCTGCGTCTCGCCGGGAGCCCCTCTCTCCACAGGAGCTGCGTGAGTGGTTCGCTCGCCGCTGGAGGCGTGCTGCTGAGTCTGGAGGTGCTGCTGGAGCTGGAGCTGGAGCTTCTTCGACCGTCGAGCGTGCGGGTGCTGCCGGTCCCGGAGCTGCTGGACCTGCGGGTCCTCCTGGAGCTGGAGCTGTTGAGGGCGTTGGTGCTGAGCCTACTGCTGTTGGTCTTGCCGCTGGAGGTGTGGGTGGCGCTGGTACTGTCGCTGAGGGTGCTGGTGCTGTCCCTGCTGAGTCTGGAGCTGCCGCGCGGCCTCGGCCGTACTTCGTTCCGCTCCTGCAGCAGGTTCTTGGTCTTTCTCCTCCAGTAGAGGGTCCACCGCCTGTCCAGTCGCAGTCCCTGCTGGAGCCTTCCTCTCCACTGCCTGCTCCCTCTCCTTACACTGGTCCTACTGGAGGTCTTGGTGAGGGTCGTGAGCCTGCGTCTCGTCCCGCGTCGCCTGT